CCGGATCCCTGGCCACAACCACGCACAGGCTCCCCGAGAGGAGCGCGCAGCCCCCTGTGCAGGACTCACCGTTCTTCTCCACGGGCACGTGGCAGCGCGGGCAGGGCTTGGTGGTCTTCTTGATGGTCTCCCGGGAGGACTCCTCCCAGCGAGCCTGCTCGGCCGCCCTGGCGTCCACCTGGTAGGCCTGCGGGAGGAGACGAGTGAGTGCCGTCTGCAGAGGGCGCTGCGGCCTCCCTCCGGGAGCACTGGGAGGGCCTCCGGGAGCACTCGGACTGGGACAGAGGTTCTTAGAGATGGAGGCGCCCTCAGGCAAGAAGCCCAAACATAAACGCCCCCAGGAGCGGTGACGGGGCTGGGCGCACGGAAGGCGGGCCTGGGCACGTGGCCTGTGCTGCGGGCTGAGGAGGGATTCTGTCAGCATCGAGCCTGCCTGCGTCCTTCATGAGCGTCCCCGACATGAATGTAAAGTCTTTCTGGAGGGACCGCAAGTGATGGGCGGGCGCCCGTGGCTTCGGGACCACCTAGCGACGTAACCAACAGAAACCCACAGGGGGTGGGGTGGGTGGGGTGGGTGGGCCCGGAAATGTGAATTCTGAACACGCCTTGGGGGGGTGGCGCGGCACCGGGAGTGTGGGGGACCCTTCCGCTTGCGCCCGAGGGGGAACATGCTTAGTTGGGTGTCTGTCACGGCTTCAGTCACCCAGCCACGGGGCAAGGACTTGCTCTTGTGTGTCTGGGAGGTGGGGGTTTCGTGCGACTCAGCATGATGGACCCCCATGCGGTTCTGTGGCCCATGCAGGGCGTGGGTGCTAAGTGGGCTGATGGTGTGGAGCTCTGCTCCCCCGAGCGTGGGAGGAACGCGTATGAGGGCAGGGCAGGGGCGGGCAGGTCTCTCCTCCATATTTGATGGCTAAACACAGCAATCTGGTAAGTTCCTCTCTATCTTCAAGGTTGCTCCGCAAGGTCACGCGTGGGCATGACGGCTCAAGACGGGACCTTGGTGCTTGCCTACGGGTGGTGGTTGTCCCGTGACCTCTGGGGGTGTCTGAGCACGGAGGTGGTTCAGAGAAGGATGTGGCGCCATCGTGCCTGGGTTCAAACCCCCGCTCCGCTCTTCGCTCGCTGTGTAACCACGGGCACGGCCTAAGCGCGGCCTCCGCTCACCTGTCCGTGTGATGCGCATAGTAGGGCCTCACAGGTAAGCGTTAAGAGTGAGCTGAGCGTGCAAAGAGCTTAGCACAGAGTCCGACGCGCCCTGAATGCGCCGCTGGCATTTCCCATGATCATCAGCATCACCATCGCCGTTCCCGATGAGACGGCCTGGGCGTTTGCACTGGAAAGACCACGGAAAGGCCGGACTGGCCTTCATACAGGTGCCCACCTGCCCCTGAGAGGTTTGTAAATCTGTGCCAAGGAGACGCTGCTGACACACACGTAAGTGAGAGCAGCCGGAGAGACTTCACGCAAGTTCCTTTCCTGCTGCGACGTCGGTTTAGTCAGTAATCGGACAAGTGTCTCTTAATTCCCAGTCAGTTTACACCCATTTTTCAAAAAGGACCAGATCGCCGTTCACCGCACAGAGGCCTCATTCCGGTGTGAGTGTTCCAGGGGAGTCCCCGCTCTGAAGGGTGGCCTTTCCCATCCACGCCCAGCGCCCAGCGCCCAGACAACACTCACTTGCCCCCAGTTCCTGCAGAACAGCCTCCCGGCTTCCCAGCCACAGCCTGTGAGCAGCCCGCCCCCTGCTGGTGAGCCGGGGCACCGCCTCCCCTCTCAGGCACAAAGCTGTCAACAAAGCTGGCTTTGTTAGTCTCACATTCTTGAAGCTATCACTATCCCTTGTGGGGGAACACACACACACACACACACACACACACACACACACACACACACACACACCTGTCTATCTAGGGAGAGAAAGAAAGTTATCAGAGAGCTGGGAAGTGATGGAGCACCTGCAAGGCTGGGCGGGGTGCGGGCGGCGTGCTCTTTGGTAGTTCGAGCCGTCCAGCCACGCTTTGGAGAGGGTCTGGAAGGACAGTTTTGGTGATGACACTACAGTGGGGACTTCTGTTATTAGTGCAGGGCATGCCGACCACCACTGCGGGGTTAGAGCTCCTTAATGCTTCACAGGGGGGAGAGGGAAGGGCATAATGTCCATTTGCCCACTTTGAGGTTGATGGCGACAGGGAACCCCATAGATGCATTAAGAAGCAGGATTATTCCCTGGTCGGGTGGCTCAGCTGGCTGGAGCGTTGTCCCATGCGGTTCCGATCCGGGCACATACCCAGGTTGCAGGCTTGATCCCCGGTCGGGGCACATATAGGAGGCAACTGGTCAATGTTTCTCTCTCACATCGGTGTTTCTCTCTCTCCCCATTTCCTCTCTCTTAAAAATCAATAAAAAATATATCCTTGGGTGAGAATTAAAAAAAAAGAAACAAGGTTATTAATGTATTATTTGTCGGGAATTTTAAAATGCTTTGTGTTCAACTATTGTTACAAATCGATGAACAGGGAAGTCTGCCTTAAGCAAGGAAGGAAGATAAGGTCACAGGGATCTCTGGTTGGCTCGCTCAGGTCGGTAATCACCAGCATTAATACAGGAGAGACGCACGAGAACCGTGCACGTGGACCAAGGCCAGCAAGTTAAGCCGGAGGCCTGCTGCGGGCTGCCCGACACGGGACTCGGCTGGTCAGGGAGGCAGACCGACCACAGGGAACTTCGGGCAAAGAAAATCCCTGCACAGATTGAGGGACAGCCTCACCCACCCCTGGCGCGCACCCTCACCAGGAAGGAAACTCAAGGCCGAGGAGAGAACAGCGTTTCCCTCTCTGTCCCCACCCCAGGACCCTCCACAGCAGCCACGAGCAGGTGTAAGCTCCGGCTCTGGAGACGGTGGGGTCTCCCTTCCCTGGCGAGGAGAGTAGCTGCTCCGTCCGTGGAGTAGCCACGCCGTCTCGCTGCTTCGCCCGTAAGCCCTCTTTCACCTTGAACTCCATGCTGGCTTGCATCTGAGCTCTTTCCTGGGTGAAGCCAAGACCACAGCGGGTCCCAGACCTCCAGGTCCCAGACCCCCCCAGATGCCTGCCTCGAACTGACCACACAGACAGGACTCGGCATTGGGAGCGCCGCTGCGGTCAAGGACCCAGAGCAGAGGACACAGCTCGGCCTTTGTGCAGAGGGAGCGCTTCTGGGACAGAGCAGGCCCTTGTCTCCTGCGGGAACTGGTACAGGGACCCATTCATCCAGCCGCCGCACTGGGAGCGGGTGGCGCCCGGGCACCGCGCTGCGCATGAGGGACACGCCGGGAAACAAGGGGTGACAGGCGCACGCCAACAAGGCCCGCGCCC